AAGGGGAACTGAATCCACTCTACCCACAAATTGCTGACTGGTTGGATTCTGACCTTTTCATAAGGGATTCTTATGGATCAGAAATGGGAAGGGAACACACAGGATGCTTTTGTGCATGGAACAGCCCATCATCTGGAGATAATGTAATGTTATCTTGTATGTTTGAAATTGTTAGCTGCCTTGGGGACCCTTGTAAGTTCAAGCTTGAGGCAAAATTAAATGTGGGTATAAATATTTTTATAAATAAATCAGCTAAGCTCAGTGGAATGGTAGGATAAGGCTGGGATCCACCCCATTTAATTCAGAACCCCACACAATTTTTATAGTCTGCAGTCTAATCACTCTTCAAGAATCATTGACTTGATTGGCAACAGCAGCAGCTGGTGAAATGAAGCTCTGGTAGAACTTTGCACTTCTAGATAAATTATTTTGGAATAACTATTTGGCATTCAGTGCAGATGCTGAATGCAGACCGTGACCTTACTGATCTAACAGGACACTAGCACATTAGCTATACAGGTTACATGTAGCAAAATTTCTACTAACAGACATACAAAAGCCCTGACCACAAGTTACAGTGAACTCTTTCTTACAAAAAGGCTGTATGCAGGCTGTATATGCATTCACTGTAACGTCCATCCTGAAACAAACTATAAATGTTACTTTCAGAATATGGTAGTGTGATATTTTCCTAAGGTCCTGTGTATGTTTCATAAGATCCACTTTATCGTGTGAAAAATGGGCAGTGTTCTGGTTAAACAGCCTATATTTCTCTCAAGCAAGCTTAAAAAGTATAGTGTTGTAATTGCAAGTCGGCTGGAATTCCGCTTGCTGCATGGTGTCCTGTCATGTTTCCCATTAATAGTAAAGGTAAAGGTTCCCTTGCTCGAAAGCCAGTCGAATCCGACTCTAGGGTTGCGGTGCTCATCTCCGTTTCAAAGCCGAAGAGCCAGCGCTGTCCGAAGACGTTTCCGTGGTCATGTGGCCGGCATAACTAAACACCAAGGCGCACGGAACGCTGTTACCTTCCCACCGAAGTGGTACCTATTTATCTACTTGCAATTTCTTGCTTTCGAACTGCTAGGTTGGCAGGAGCTGGAACTAGAGACAGGAGCTCACCCCGTCTTGCAGCACCCGGGTCTTGAACTGCTGAACTACTGACCTTTCACAGCCTGCAGTTCAGCGTTAATACCCTTCACCAATTAGACATTGAAACGGATTCTGTGGCTGCACTAGAGCTGTTGGGCACTCCTGGTTTCCTCTTAAGTGGATGTTGCTGTCCCAGTTAGTTAATCTCATTCTTAAAACTGACTTCTTCCACAACATTTCCTTATACTGGAAAACTCTCCCCCCCTCTTGTTTAAATAAGTTATTGATTGAACACTGTAACCTTTAAAATCAGGAGCCTGTTAATCTTAACATTAAGGTGTTGCAAAATGGTATTAAACTGATACTTGTGATAGAAACGTGTTGTACCATATTAAGAAGTGTGGTTAAATAATAGCCTCAAGGCCCTTGTAAAACTGTGCCACTTTTTATGCATGGATTGAAATTTGATTTATTAGTTTGAAATGGAGTTTAGACAAGGAAGTATTTTTAACTAACTTTCTTAACAAAGAGCTTTCTTTGCAATGTCACGGAAGTTTCACAAAACCCCTTTATCACATGACAACTAAGTCACCACTGTTAACTCTTCTACTACAAAAAAATCATTTTATTCTTGAAATAATGGGGGTAATAGGATCAACCAATGGTTCTTCAGAAAAAAATCTGGGGACAGGCATATTGCTGTATCTTTTTGTGGCTGAATTATGTGCACGTATGAACACATTTTGCTTTTCAACTGTACAATACAGTGAGTACAGTTTGGTGTGTTCCTAACCCTCTACCTAGTTCACATTAACTTCAACAGCAAGTTTTCCCATTGTGAGAGTCCCGCTGCCAATACCTAAAGAGAAACTGAATCATCAGGAGGAGTTTGCTCTGTCTATCTCAGAACACTTGGAAGAAATAATTTTAGCAGCTTTGCCCCTCTGATTTAAAGAGGCACAGAGCCATAAGCATCAAGATCTTCAGCACTAAAATCAACATTCTCAAACCCTCGTTTGAGGGTTGGGGAGGAGGTCTATTCAGAATCCAACTCACATCTATTCAATACAGCTGACTCCCAGGAAAGTATCATAAGATGGCTCTGTTTGGTGTGTAGTGGTTAAGTGTGCGGTCTCTAATCTGGGAGAACCGGGTTTGATTCTCCACTCCTCCACTTGCACCTGGCTGGATGACCTTGGCAAGCCACAGTTCTGACAAGTGGAAAAGGAAACAAACAACCGTGATATATTATGCAACAAAAGTCTCCAAAGACTAGAAATTTCTTTTTCCAATATTCAGTTTACTGGATGCAATTTAAACGCCATCAACACCAACGGATCATACATATCATCTCGTTTAATTCTCTTACACCTAATGGTCTTAATGCTGAATTGGACCTTAGCTGTTTTTTGTAAGGTTTTGTGCTTGTATAATAACTTGTGCAGCATATGTGCTTTCTTATGTAAGATCATGTTGATTTTCTATTGGTGTTTCTTCCTTTTGATAAGTCTTTTTGTAATGAGCGTAAAGCATTGGGTTTCTCATGTGTAAAATTATGGTGGTTTCTTAAATGTTCTTCTCCCTCTGTCTTTTTTGTCCCTGGTAAAATAGTTCTGTTTTGCTAAATGGGTTAACTGTTCGGATGGCAGCAATTACTGATGTGTCTGATAGGGTAAAAGTTTGTAAAACTTCATTTGGTTTTTCTACTCCTCGGGGCATTACTGCCTTTGTAAATGGGTTTTGTCCCTTTAAGATGCAGGACTGACAAACAGCCGGCTGGCAGTAATTATGGGCTTTAGATATGTATAAGTAAATAGGAAGAATGAATTGACATTACACTGATGGATTTTGAAGAATGTCACAATGAAATACTACCAGTCAGTTTGTTAAATGGATTAATCTTGTAAGTATGTTATAAAGCAGTCAGTTGTTTGTACAGCCTTGTGCTATTTTCTTGCTAACATTAATACTAATAATAGAATTATATATTTTTGTAATTAAATGTAGGTATTTCAATGCTGTCCACTTTGACAAAGTTGTACACGAAATAAGATGATATGCATGATCCGCTGATGGCGTTTGAATTGCATCTAGTAAACTGAATATTGGAAAAAGAAATTTCTAGTCTTTGGAGACTTCTGTGGCATAATATATCACGGTTGTTTGTTTCCTTTTCCACTTCCTTCCCGTGATCTCTCTCCTTGTTTTGCACAGTTCTGACAAGAGCTGTTCTTGAAAAAGAGCAGTTTCTGTCAGAGCTCTCTCAGCCCCACCTACCTCACAGGGTGTCTGTTGTGGGGAGGGGAAGGGAAAGGAGTTTGTAAGCTGCTCTGAGACCCCTTTGGGTAGTGAAGGGCGGGGTATAAATCCAATCTCCTCTTCTTCTTTTTTGGCCACTCTGTGACAGAGTGTTGGACTGGATGGGCCTTTGGCCTGATCCAACATTGGCGTCTCTTATGTTCTTATGTTCTTCTTCTTCTTCTAAGATGGGCACATACTGTGGACCCAGGCAAAGCATATTACTTGATGTATGTACCATCAACACAAATTCTCCATCAGGTATTACTCATGTTTTCCTTCCTGAAACCATTTATACTTCTTGAAGGAATAGCAGATATTTCAGAAAGGCACGCCTGTTTACCCTAGGGGAAAGTGATTTGCCTTAATCCCTCCTTCCTACCATGACCCCTTGTGCTGTCTCTCACACTGTTCTCAAATGTCCCCCCCAAACCCCTTGGAAATAACTTGAGCAGAGGGGATGCAGGGGGAGCCTCTACAGATGATAGTTCTCTGGAACCAAGCCTTAACCTCTGGGTCGAGAGTTCACTAGGATATATGAAGATGAGCTAGATTCGGCACTACAGAAGCAAACTTGAGCACTATAAGGAAATAAAACCCCAGAAGGGACAGGCAGTGTAGTATGGGAAACCTAGAGGCCACAAAAATAAGATTAAGGGACAGAGGGACATTAACAAACCTGACAGCAGCCTTTTTCAGCTTCCTTTTTTGAGGAACCAGAATGTACCAATTATTTCCAATACAGAAAGACAGAGGAGCAGTTCTTGAGTTAGATACAATTGATATAGCCAATTTATTCATGCACCCCTTAAAGAGCTTTCACTCAACAGCCTGGTCCTACCATTACGTTGTGGTTCTAGCAGTTAACGGGAGTATCAGTCACAGACGACGAGATGATCGTGTGCATGGAGTGTTAACTAGTTGTGCAGACTGGCCCTTCAACTAACAGCAGCAGGAGCTTCACTTAAAATTAACCAATCAAGTCACTGTTTAGAAACAAACTGTGCGTGAACTTCACCAGGAGATCCAAGCACATGTTAATAGGGTTTTAGTAGCAAAACTAAAATATGCCGTTTCTTAACATCCTCTCAGTAAAAACTATTTGCCAAACGAGCCATTTATAATACAGAATCTAGAATCACAAACTGCCCTTATCCCCTCAAAGCTTCTTGTGCAGCCTTCCTCTACTGCAGAGAGGTTTTGCCCGGCACCGAAGGTGGCACCTGACACCCAGACCCCAGAGCAAGGATGGCTTACAGTGCTGTGGCAAGAAGATCAGTATTCCTTTACACTGGCACCGATCGAGGTCGTGGAGAGTTGGCATAATTTGAAGTGCTCTTTTTTGAGAAGAATGAACCACCATTACCACCCCAGGGGTGGTGGAAGCTACCCACCCTCATAGCTGGATCTTCACGAAAGAAAAGAAGGAACACAACTTGCTTCAGTTAAGCTACAATTCCCAGCTGCAGTTCAATGCTGACTTTCTTCATGTGATTTTTATGGCAATGCCATGCCTCAAATTTCACACAGCTGTTGACTATGCCAAAGAATACACAGACCCCGTCCTCCCCCCCAAAATTTAAGAGCCAAGTGGTAAGTCATGCTATACTTACAACTTTCAGCCTGGTAGTCTGGCACAAACTGCTCATCGTTGTCAGGTACCTGAGCTGAAGATTTGGGGGGGGGGGGGGGGGGGTGGAGACAGAAAGGAAAGAATTAACATACAGAAGTCACTAATGCATAAAGTAATCCTAAACTGTTAGACTGGTTGAAGACAAAAACAAACAAACCAAAAAAGTCAAAGGTAGGATTAGTGTTCATTAAAATTCAAATTAAGCATGAAAACCAACATGTTTGAAAATACTTGCTGGCTGGCGCAGTGATTAGCAGAATTACCTATACACTTTAATTCCCATGTTGGGCACACATCAGAACATGAACCGTATTTGTTTCAATAAATAAAATAACGCAGTGTTTTCCAGCCATCCCCACATCAAATTGGGAGATAAGCAGCAGTTGCACACATGAGACTTCTGCTAACCCCTAGACAAAGTTTAGAGAGAAGACTGTGTAGCAATCAATGGTTATTTATTCAATTTTAATCCTGCATAGTCCGTGAGGACCTGTGGGTGATGTATATGCCCCTCCATCCCTCTGGTTGACCCTCATGACAACTATGAGGCAGATAATGGGGAGAATGACTGTTCCAGTTACCCTGTGAACTACCTTCGCAGAGTGAGGAATTGAACCCAGATCTCCCCAGTCCAACACCTAACAACACTGCTTCCTCAAGTAATACCTGGCATAGTGACCAAAAGGGGGAAATATAAAGTATGCACAAACCCACAGAAGCTTTTGAAAAGTAACATGTGAACAGTTTGTTTTTCACAGAGACAAATAATGCTTTGGGAGAAGTACTGCTGACTTCCAAACTGAGTCCTGAGGCTGGGATCCAAGGAGTTCCTTCAGTGGAAACGAAAAGTTTAAATTAACCCAAGTTTCCCCTCAACAGCTTTTAGCCAACCCCTCCCCCCATATCACCGACTGTTTCTAAAACTATCTTCCATACTTTTTTTAAAAAACCCAGTTTACCACACACTTGGTATGGAGGAAGGGAGTGCTGTTTCTTCTAAAGTCCTTTGAGCTCCTGAAGTCTTTTTCATGATTGCCTGAACCCTGGCTCGAGTTTCCAGAATTCATCAATACCACTCCCACTTGGTTATGACTGTATTCAACGTTCAGAATCAGACCAAATTGAACTATCTGAGAGGGAGGCAACATCAGCACTAGATAAGTAATCTAAAATGAACATAGGTTAGCCTTACACATTAGAGAGGACGGGTATCAGAGAAGCTACAACCCCTTCAAGCACAAATGGTTAATGGTGTATAGGCAAGGTTCAGAGAATTTTGGTAGTAGAGACCATAACTACACTTGCACATTATGAGGAAACAACGCATTTGCTGTCCAACAGCTGACAAACTGTGTGCCTCAGTGCATAATCATCAAGCTTTCTATTATTCTATTCCTTCTAACCAAGGATTATACACTGCTGAGATTCTGCAAGGTGTCTAGTTTAACCCATCTTAAGGTTCACTGATACCTAGGAATCATAGAATCACAGAGTTGGAATCATAGAATCGCAGAGTCCAACCCCCTGCTCAATCCAGGATCAGCCTAGAGCATCTCTGACAAGTGTTTGTCCAGCCACTGCTTAAAGACTGCCAGTGAGGGGGAGCTCACCACCGCCCTAGGCAGCTGATGCCACTGTTGAACAATTCTTACTGTAAAAACGTTTTTCCTAATATCCAACCAGTACCTTCCTGCCCTTAATTTAAACCCATTATTTCAAGTTATCATTCTTTCTCCCAGCAAAAGGAACCTCAACATCCTTATAATTTAAAAACACACTATGTTTGCATTCTGCCTTTTCTTCTATGTGCGTAAAGCAACATTCTCACTCACAAGAAATTGTTAGGCTGTGAAACAGAAACTTGATCAAGAAGAAGGGAGATCTGAAGTGGCTACTAGCCATGGTGAACGAAGGGACCCTCCAGGTTCAGAGATAGTCAACCTCTAAATCCCAGTGCCAGGCGGCAACATCATGGGAAGGTCTCAGCCTCTATACCCCATTGTTGGACCTCCAGAGGAACTGGTTGGCCAGTGTGAGACAGGATTAGCATTCCCTCTAAACTGAGTTAGTGTGAGCTAGTTCACAGTTTTTTAGCCTCCAGCTCACACATTTCTGTCTTAGCTCAGGAAGGATGGCTCCAGAGCAAACTAGTTTATGCAGTAGCCAAACTGCTCACTCACAACTTTAATGCCAGTAGCTCACAAAGTAGATTTTTTGCTCACAATTCCACAGCTTGGAGGGAGCATCGGACAGGACTAAATGGGTCACTGATCTAATCCAGTAGGAGGTCTTCTTATGTTCTTATAAAGCCAAGTTCCCATCATCAAACCTTAACATCTAGTCATTAGTCTAGTTTGCAAGCCCAGGCAAAAGAAAGGAAGAATTTAACATCAACATTCCACAAGTAGTTTCATTCATATCGGCAAGCAAACAGGGGACACCAATCTGATTGTCATGCCATGTGATAACAGAAAAGGGAGGGGGAAACTAAACCATCTATAAAGAGCCAGACTATCAGAATGCTTGCAATAATCCTGTAAAATACATAGATGGTTCCATACAAACTTTCAGCACATTTATCACACAACATCATTTACAATAGAGTAATGTAGGCATAATGAGTATTGTACACATCTGCAAGACACAAGGATGAGAATGTTAGCACTAATTGTAATCTAGCTCATTTTAAACTCTTTTAAAATCTTTGCAGAATGTACTAAATGGGCTAGCTTCTGAAGCGCGCATACACACACCTTAATTAGCGCAGATTCTTTGGAGTTGCAGAATTTAGCCTGTTTTATTACTTACATCTCTAGCATGTACCAAATCTGTATACAGTATAACTTCCAATACATCAGCCGAGCCGAGTACATTTCAATTGTCTTACAAAGCTGACAAAGCTTCAGCTTTCCCTTTACCAAAGGAATTTAAAAAAATAAAAAATAAAAACACCACAGAACAAATATGTCTTTAGCACACATTTCCAATCACTAGCTTTGACAAATGCACAAATTCACTTTCAAAGTTATGATACCAGAAGTGGTGTCCAGCCATCCAAGGCAGTTTTCCCGCAGGGAATACACAATGGGAAAAATCACTGTGCATCATTTTATCATAATCATTTCTAATTTATTTTTTTAAAAAAACATATTCTATACAGTATAATTTTAAACCCTTCAAGGAATGAGGTTTAAACTTAGCATGTGTTTGTACGTTTTTTAGCGTAAAAGAAAATGTCATGAGATACCTGTTTTGACATCTTACATTCCTTGGGGTGCAAACTTACTTCCCTGGACACATATTAATACTCCCAAAACTCATACGTAAGAATGCGAACAAGAGAGCTAAAGACAGCATACAAAGAATTAGTAAGTTGCATTATCTTTTTTAAAGACACAGAATCAAAACTCTCTTAGGAAAAGGAAGTGGAGACTCTTCCAGCCACCCCCGCCTACCACGTCAATTTTCCCTACCCAAAAAAAGCAACTGCACTGATTTGAAGACAACGCCTGACAGACCTCTGTGACTCCAAAAAACTTTTGCACCGCCAGCCTTAAAAAGGACTGACAAGTCAGACCAGCAACCACACAGTTAAGGAGGACTAATTTGGATGCCTGAAAAAGAAATGTGACTACAGAGGGCTGTAACTACAGGCATATTTATGTATCATTCATTTCCTCTTTTCTTGTCATTGCCAAAGTTGCAATTCTATGAAGCTGTCATAAAAGCTACAGCGGTTTTGAATACAGTGACAGTAGGGGGAAAGGGGGCATGTCAACAAGAACATTTGCTGAACATGATTTTATATATAAAACACACGTGATTAGGATGGGAGGAAAAGGATATACTCCCAAAGTCTCTTTGTGTTTCAAAACTGGCAACAGCAGGAATGACTCTAACAGGTTCACGGTGCATTAACAGAGCAAGTGGTCCCCCACGTCTTGGATTCTTACTCAAATCAGTAATGTCTGGGTTTTGCCATAAGCCTGACCACCACCAAATGTTCCTCTGCCTTCCTTTCTCCCCTCCCCAAATTATCATCTTGCAACAGGCAGATATAAAGGCCACAAAGTGTTGTAATTATTCAGAAAAAGACGTGATCTCCATCTGGATTTTACTTTTCTTCAGGTCAGTTCGAGTGAGCCTGCTCCCGTGCAAGTCCGCTCAAAAGTAACCATCACTGAATTCAGTGGGACAGATTTCTAAGTAAGTTTCCACAAACTTGCATTTTAGTTGTGGCCCTTTAACTAAATTAAGAGGTATGTAATATTCTTTTAATATTAAAAAGAGAGAGAAACCTATTTTAGTGTACCAAGAAATCCAGAAACAGGCTGGAGAATGAAGCCATAAACTGAAGATTAGTTTAGTTTCTTCACTGGCAAATAAAACCAAAAATGGGGGAGGGGAGACTGGGCACCAGCCCTTGCAAAAGAAGTTGATATTTAATTAAAACCAGCTCTATCCACTGTAACAATGTCTTGCAGCCAAACAAGGCAGAAGATGTATGAGTCATTCTTTCTGCCAGTGAATGAGACAGCTGATCTCCTAAGCAATTCTTCAAGACCTGCAGTCAGAACTGGAGCTTTGCCTCCATTCACAAAAACAGAATCCAGCAAGAAACATGTGGCACCAACCACAACCTTTTCATGTCACACCCTGATAGAACAAGAACCGAGTAAACTTGAACTTCTTACATAAACACATCCTTTTCAATGCTTTGTCTCAGACACAGCACAGGCCTCATTAAGGAACAAAACTTAATAAATGGAAAGTCAAGCAAACGGCAACGCTAGGACAAAAAAAGTTACAGGATCCATGGGGGGGGGGGAGAAACACAAAAAGATCAGATGAAAGTCATTTTTAACCCCTGTTCTTAATTTCCATCTCTAATATTTCCAATAATAATTCTTCAGGTTTTGACAGCCCATTGAGAACAGATACCAGTGATTTCAGATTACCAAAGAACCAAGTTATTTCCTCCATGGAGCCACACACATGGACAACAATCTTGGGTGGGAGGAGAACAGACAAACTGGGAACACATACTACTTTAATTATTCAGAAAACAAGAAGCTAGTCAGCAGCTAAGTTTTCACAAATCAGTTAAGCACATCCTTTGACTATTCCGGAGGGGGGGGGGGAGAGAGAAATACTATAACAGAAGATCACTTGTGGGGGGAGAACTCTTAGGTGAAATGCACCATTTCCAAAATGACTGCATGTTTTGGAGCATGCTCTTGTGCATGAAAGCTGAACAAGAGTAATGTCCAAATGCTATAAACTTTCACAATATTTATTTAAAAATCTGATAGCAGTCAGCAGTATGGATCAAATGGACTGTAATTGTAGTCTAACAGTGTCATGAGATCACTACATTCTCAATGAACACCCTCCCCCCGCATAGTATTTTAGGTACTCTGTGAACACTGAAAATAAGCATTTCTCATAAAGCCCTTCTTGCTTTGGGCACCACTTGTGACACACAGATTATTTTCCCCAAAACTTTACGAAGTCACAGCCTCCACAATCCCCCTTCCAAAAACATGTTAGGTCCACCACCTTCAACATCTCTCTACTAGATTTCAAATACTTCTTGGGTTTTGCTCAATTAAAGCTCATTCCAAATTCCATTAACCCATCATCAGTTTATTTCCTCTACAGTTTATTTCCTCTTCATGTTAGAGTACACCAACAAGATATGAGGGGATTGTTTCCATAGTTCTAAGGACTCTGGGTGGGACAAACTAGTTTTCATGCATTCTGATTGCTGGGCCTTTCACATTTTGCTTTACAACTGAAGTAAGAAACTGGCCACTATTGGCAGGGGAGGGCATGCTTATTGGTAATGACTCTTACATTCCAAAGAGAGGCAAAGGTCATTGCTTCTAGAATCCTCATAATACAAAGTTTGCCAGGTAGCAGAAGAACTGATACACACTTTTTGCTAAAGTTCATTCACCAACGCTGGCCATTATTCACTGGCACCAATATATTTTAAAGAAATCAATTCCTTATTATCAGGATATCCTGTCCCATCTTGAATAGGAATGAAGGAAGGAATTAAACCATCCCATCATCTGTCCTTTTGATTAATAACAGATTAGTCTCCATTAGAATTCCAGATGACATTTTTCAAATCAATAGTAATGCTAACAGGGTTTTCATCATCTCTTAGAATATTTACATTGTAGTTATCCTATTCAATAAGGATTTTCGAATACTTTCCTTTTAGCTTCCCCCCCCCCCCCCTTCAGCCACAAAGTGTTTCCACCATACACAGCAGGCTTTCAGCACCAGTTATTTTGTTCTTTTTGTTACAGAATAAACAGCAGGAGCTTCCATAATGCAAAGTACATTACATTCATATTTGAGCCGATTATTTCAAGTCAATGGTTAACTTACGTTTGCCAAGAACAACTTAATGCAATATCTATAGATTCAATAGAGGAGCTTTGTTGCATGCAGGGTCAAAATAGAAACACTACAGTATTCTATGAAAAACTTAACACGGCGTTACCCCAACATACTAAAAATGTATCACTTTAAGACGGATTTAGAGGAAACTTATGGCCCCGCATAAAAGAAGAACTGATACCCAAATATGAGTTTAGGAGGCAACACTAAACACGCAACTTCCGAACAAGACTCATTTTCATATACTGACTCATTTTCATATTCTGATACTTATCACTTTTTCCTTTTAAACTACAGCAAGGCAACCAAAAACTATAGTGTTCTTATGGGCAGGGAGGTTTATCTCTGTTCCTTATATGCCACAGAAAGACACAAAGTTTTGCCAGAGTGTCTACAATGCTAGTGCTACAGGATGCAACATCTTTTTGAATGTGACATTCAGGGTTTGGCACAGTGTACATCAGACAAACAGAAACAAAGTAAAATGGCCTTGTTTCTATTCACCACTTTGAATTATTTTCTACCTCCAATACATATGTAAATCCCATTGTTTCCAATGGCACTTTTGAGCATGTGCTGAAAAGAGAATAGACTGTTTATGATTACTCATTTTAAGCAACATTCTCCAAAGAAGAATAGGGATACTGATAAATATGCAGCTGAAGAATCTTAACTATTAAGAACAATTCTTTCTTTTCCCCACCCCTCTCTAGTCTTCAGAGCCCCTGAGTTAAGCATGTTGTGGCTCAATAAGCAAATTTTTCTGACCTCGTTACTACCCAAGTGGGAGCTCTGAACTCAATCAGCGGTGGCAACTTGGAGATTCTACTAAGGGGGGGGCAGTAAATATCACGGCCTCTTTTACTGGCTATCAAGCATCATGAAACTAAAATATAAATCAAGCAATGTAACTTTATGGAGACTGAGGAGAATCTACAAGAACAAACTGAACAGTGGGACTACAGGACTAACTTCTTCAAGTTTAGTTCCATAACCAAAAGGCAGCCCGGTCAGAACTGCAGATGAATTAAACAGGAGCAGCCATCACATATGCCCTGTAAACTTTGAGTCCCCCCCCCCCCTCGGTTTAAGGTAGAAACGATGATTGCAAAGTTGTTGCTTTAAAAACTTTTTACTTCCTGCAAAACTCACGCCTTCCCTTGATATTTCTAGCACATACTGGCATAAGCATACATCAACTTCACCTTTAGAAGTCTAAGTAATCTCTAAAACAGTGGTTGCAACAATATTTAAGGTTTCTGTATAATCTCTCATTGTAGTAACACATTGCAGCATGCATGCACACAAAACCCTATATTTTAGTTTATGACTTCATATACAGGTTTGGGTTATGGGAAGAAGTTTTTAAAAACTACTGGTTTGGGTTATGGGGAGAAGTTTTAAAAAACCACTATGATTCTTAAATCAGGAATATTAGATGCAATACTGATTTGTCCGTTAAAGACCTCTCCAGCATCCAGGTACTATCACTGTATCCCAACAGAGCCAAACAATGTATACTGTTTTCAGATTGAAAACCGGACATCATAGAAGAACTAAGCCTTCACGTCCCAAACCACCCACCTCCTACATTTAGAGTTTTGACAATCTTCTGTCTTATTAAGAGGAATAAAAAACCGAACAGTTTAACAAGGTCCTCACAGGAGTTACCTTAACATAATAAGTCAAGGTTGCGTTTTAAGGGGGATTTCATTGCAACAGAACTCATTACAAGAGTTCTTCCAATTTAAAGTTTACCACCTCTATGCATGCAGAGTACCTGGCAGGCAGAGTACTTGGCAAACTATATGAAGAGATATCAAAATTAGCTAGTCAGCCTAGATACCAATCCAGCACTTCCTCTTTTCTATGGTGAAGCCATCACATTCAGCTCTCCCAACTGCTTCCCCTTTTGAAGGAAAAGGCATGTCCATTCAATTAACAATAATACAATTCAGTTAGATAAAAATAAAAACTCCCATCAATGTACAAAGCACATAAACAACTCAGAATATATGCACAGAGCTAGTAATATCTGAACATGGTTTAATTCAGCCTTCTGTTCTAGAGAAAGTAAAAGATATAGATATTACAGAATACAGAGAATCTGTACTGAGTCATCACCATACTGGAAATAAACAAGCTTTTAAATAGCCAAGTGCGTCACAGACAAGAGCATAAACATTTAAGTTAGAAAATATACCTCAGAGCTAGGAGCAACTTCCCTTCCCATTTCAAAACTTCTCTTTACCATCTCTCCTTTTGTTCAGCCCACCTCTCCACTGCTCAAGTGAATTCACATTTACAAAATAGAGATTTTTCCCCCCTTAAAACTGTCAGTAATAATAAACTAACTGTATCTGATTTCAAGGAACATAAAAAACAAGAGGAGAAAAAAATCCACTCTCTCTTCTAAAAAGCTTTCCAAAATTAAAAAAAAGAGAATAAACCTCATTGCTCTTTAAGCATTCGATACACACCTAATGTTCTGTGTTGTGAGCAAGGTGGGAAGAAGACACTTGCGCTTAAATCTTGAAGCATCCCGTCCTGATGAACCCAGAGAAACTATATTCTGCCATCAGAAAAGTACTTCCATCAGAATACCAAACAATCGCACGCCCTGCTCTAAAGGAAAGAACAAGCCCAGTTCTGGCTGTATGCAGTCTCTTGAGGAACAATAATATAAACCTGATCAATTGCAATTAAAATCTGAACAGAGGCTTGGAACTTGAAGTCTTGGTGCATTAGTTCTTGCCAAAAGCAGATGTGATTGTGAGCTGGAAGCAATTTCTCCTGGTAATTTGTGATGACACTGGGTAGAGCAGCCCCAGAGTCCCCAAAGACAAACTCATCAGAGGCTCTAATGTATGCATGACACATGAGGTGGCTCTTTTAGAGCTCAATTAATTGGGCTGAACATTAAGACAGCAAGTTCAGGACTTTTTCTTCCCTCCCCCCACCCCCCTTTTCCTCCAGAGTTGTTTTTCTTTTCTTTTTTTTAACAAGATGACTCCCCCCCCCCTTACCTTCTGCAAGCCACGTCTCCTGTAATTGGCTCAGATCTTGAAAGAGTTCTAAGAAGAGAGGAACAGATGAATAAGAGACCAATACCTTTCTCATTTTATAGACTGAAAGCTAATTTTTCTCCCCTCCCTGAAGACAATACTTGTAAATACCATTTTGGCTAACCTCATATAGAGAGGCAAACTGGAAATACCCTGGTCACAGATCACAATCCATTAACATTATCATCATTGTTATTAATATTATTACTATTCAGATTCCACAAGAAACATATGCAACAGAGTGCTTTTCTTTCACTCTCAACCCAAGCAATATCCATTGAATTTCCCCCTTTCAGCTAACTTGCACATATGGCACAGAATACCAATTTAGCTGCCCAAACACCAAGCTTTTAATTCACATAATCTGTCTCTCCCTTAAAAAACAACTTCAGACCAGCTTTAGCTGCCATTGCACAAGCAGCTACACTGCTGACTTCAACAGTTTTGCCCCTGTAAGGACTCATACCTATTTTAATATACAGCACTATACCAGAAAAATGGCAAAATAAAATCCATTTCTTATTTTTAGGCAAGACCATGCCATCTCTTAATATTACAAGTATATTTATTGTACAGCAAGAGCACTGGTAGGAGTACTCAGAGTTTGTACTCAGAAGAAAAGAGAGAGAGGGGACACAGCGAGAGATCAGAACAGAACAGAATTTGAGGCCAGTGTTATATGCATTTTTGAAATCTTTATAACTCTAGGTTAAACATGTGAATTGCAGAACTTCATCCTCTCAATTAGTGAAGCTGTCTTTTAAAATTAGGATCACCTACGGGTAGTAAGTGATTCAGTAGTGGACGGGAGAAGGATTTTTTAATGAAGTATTCACAGATCCTTATCTGCTTTCCAAAGTTGTTGTAAATAATTGGCCTGTAGTTTGATGGCTTATGCTTGAGAACTTCCTCAGTTAAAATGAAGGGATTTTTTTGGTTGTTGACTCTGGATGTTGTTTCACTTTTTGAAGCTAGCTCTACAGCTCCCAGGTTCCCACAGGGCTTCAGTGCTTTGTACATTTTTTTCAAGCTGTAAAAAAAAAGGTTGTGTGCTGTATATACACCCACCTTACCCCTAAAGCAGGCATTATAGACCAGTCCTGCAAAGCACTGCTACTATATTAACCGTCTTTCATTGCAATGGAGATTGCACAGAAGGCATGTGCAAGCCCAAATGAAGATACATAGCGACAGCATCGCTTTAAAGGGCCAGAAGTTAACTTGTGCCATAGTTCTCACCATTCCATCTTGGGGGGGTGGGGGGTGTTCAAGGTATGATTGGCAGATGCCAAATTTAGTACTCCATCTCCTTCTTAGCACTGATGAAACTGAGTAGAGCTCTGACTAAAATCAAGAGGGCATAGTTAGGAATACACAAAGGCCTCTGCCAAATTTACTGTAATGCTTACACTGATGGGATCAGCGCACCAATCTGGCAAGCGGTCTACATCAGAGGTCAGCATCATCGGAGTGATGTTAGAGGCAGTACCAGGGCAATTCTGTTTGGACCAGGCAGGGCAGGCCTATAAGTAACAAAGCCTTTCCTCAAGCCATCGTGTCAGTCCTTGCCAAAACCCCACTTCAGGTACGTAATATTATTCATGTCCCTTCTGTGTAGCAATACGTTCCACAGAGAGAATGAGTCATGAAAGGTACCACTACAGAGCAGTGAATTGTTTTGTCAGCCTTATGTCACATTGTTAAATGTGATTTCCTTGTCTCAATCCTGTAAATAGATTGTTTGTTTGAGACAAATGTGCAGGAAGAAACAAACAAACAAAAAAGCCAACGCAGAACACCTCCATCCTCCCTCAAAAATGAAAAAGCCTGTTGTGGAGTAACTTGGCATTAAGAGGGGAGCAAAGTTATCTCCCTTCCCCCAAACAAGCCTCACCTTCTGAGTCATGAGCCAGATCCCTGTTAATGAATTTTCTTTTCCTGACGTTTGCTGGTCGCTCATTACAGTTTCTCCCACAGGGATTCTACAAATAGAAAAGATTGGTTACTTTAAAAAGAGAAAAATAGGAGGCAAGGTGACAGCCCATACTATCAGCATTTTAAAAATATTACAAGTCCAAAGAAAGAATGCTTTTTTCCCCCATTGTCCCAGCTACTAATTTCAACCTGTTAGTTTACTGATGGCATTAGCCTTCCTCCAGAGCATTTCTGACTCAACCCACCTACCCAAATACACATCTGAACACACACCAATGCTTTGCTGAGCAATGCACTGTTAAGAATAAGATATATTTTTAGCAATTTACAGTGGTAACACCAACAGAAGAGGGTTCTTTAAAACAAAAACACAGCCCCTTTATTTCAACTCCTTGAGAGAGAGCAAGGAAATGATACCAAGAGGCTGCTTTGTTTTCAAGCCTTATTTGTTGAAGTGTTTTGAAAAGTCTCATAAAATAGCCAGGGTTAAACAAATCCATGTCAACTTCACTCTTTCTCTCAATGGCAGGCAATCACAGCCAAAAACTTTGAAAGGAGCAGCTGGTTTTCCTTCTACCAATAGTTTAAAAAAAATTAAAAAGTAGATTTTGCTTTCCTCCAGCTAGAAATTGTCGAGGTGGGGAGAATTTATTAAAATAAAACTTCACTGTGCCAGCAAAGCATACGAACCCTAACACGACAGCAAAACAAACATTTTCTCCCACAAAAAAAAGCCCTCTACTCTTCACCCCCACCCCACCGAGAGATTCAAGTTTAAAACAATAACTTTAGAACTGATCACTCACATTGGTGACCATGTAAGGCACTTGCTGGTCATAAAATCCATCCATTCTGAAGACTTTAGCTGAGTATTTTTTATTATTACTGTTTTCTGGACATTGGACTGAGAGATTTCCTCCAGATGTAGCCTCCGAGCAGCCTAAAAAACGGGAACACAAGATGGCTTTTAGATTTTTAAAAAAGAAGAAATCATGAATGAACCGCTTCAATTTGCATAGCTAATGATCCTCCAAGAGTCCCATTCATAAAAAAAAAAAAAAACCAACCCTCCTTCCGCTGCCTTCCCCTGGGTTAGAAGCAAGAGCCGGAAAAAGGGAGCGTGAAGGGGAAAGGACTTTTTAGCAAGCAATCTAATCGAGAGGCAAACGCTCTTTATTGACGTGCCCGTTCTGTCCCCGGAGCGACCAGGGTAACTCGCAGCACTCATTCGTAAACGTGTGCAGAAACTAGTAATGGCGCACAACACGACTCGCGTTGCACCTAACGGGAGGAGAGACGCGGCTGAGCTACCTTCTTTTCTTTTTTTTTTTGCAAAGCACAACCACGTAATCAGCTGGAGGGAAAAAAAGTTGCTGCAAAGACCCACCTGAAGGTAACCGCAAGACGATCGGCTGCGTACACACACACACCAAAAAAGTCCCTCCAATTTTAATAAAAACATTAATTATTCCCCAGCACTTCCCCCATGGAAGCGAAACGCGCCACTGACAGTGCTTTATTCCGAGGCTTTTCCTCTACTTCTCCTCCAGGGGCCTCCAATCCAAACTGATGGATCTTTGCATCCCATTGGTTCTCCGTGTCTTTCACAGGATCAGATTTCTGCCTGTCAATCAGGCTGCCTCGCACCCCCTCAGGGAAAAACGGAAAAGCTGGATCCTCCCGGATTCGACAGGGGATTCGACAGGTCGTTACTCCCTAAACTGACCGCACACAAACTGCTCGATATAACACCCCTCGCGCGTTAAAAGACGCAGCGCTTCTGTATTATCTTGCAGCGTGGATTAAATTCGTTTTGCCTACCAGCCCCACTAAACGCTTCCAACTTGGCGATCTGTGCCCCTTGTGCCAGCAAATACATAGCATGTTTGATGTTTTCAACTCTCTTGGATCTCAGCTGCAGAATGTTGCCGGAGTTAGCTAATTTGACTAAATTCTTACCACCAAATTCAGCGTTAACACAGGTAAACTTGCTTTGCTGTGCAGTGTATGTAGTGTATACAGGCATACAAAATATAACGTGTTTACTCAAAAGGGAGCCCCACTGAGTGCAATAGGATGTACTTCCAAGTAAACATTCATAGGATTGCAGCCCAACTTCATGAAATGTTGTAAATATTAGTTAGGGTTGCCTGGTTTGGAAAATACTTGGAGATTCGGGGGGGGGGGGGGGCGTGGG